TAAAAAAAAAAAATAAAAATCAGCAACCCAACTATGTAATATTTATATCACATATATTCTGTGTACATAACAAGCCATTTAAAAGACTATCGCCTCTATCAAATTTTTACTAATAGATATATGATTGTTGGTTTTGTAAAGTGCTGTTGAGTCAGTTTCAATTCATACCGAGTTTGTATGAGGTTTCTGAGGAACAGCTGGTGGGTTTGAACTGCCAACTTTGTGACTCATAGTCCAGCCCTAATCCTACAGCATCAACACCAGAAGTCCTAACTAATGCATATTATAGGAGCACAGGAGTAGACTAATTGGAGGTAATTTTGCTGATAATAATCAACTCAGTTAACATAAAAAAAAATAAGGATTGGTCTACAGCCAACGGGGCAGGGGATAACTATTGAGTTACTTGAAGATTACTCACGGGCCAAGCCTAGGTGAATTCTGAGTCAAGTTACTACGTCCCAAACATGTAAAGCTGATGGCCTCTACGGTGATTTAACTTTGAGAAACTTGGCATAGGAGAAGCTAGAAAATGGTGGTGATGGTGGTGTACTGTGGAGTCGACTCCGACTCATCGGCTGTAAATCTTTACGGAAGCAGAAAGCCTCATCTTTCTCTCGAGGAACAGCTGGTAGTTTTGAACTGCTGATTTTGAGATTAGCAGCCTGTGTACCATCAAGGAATTGGTAAAGCAATAAGCATCAAGAAGTAATTGATCATTTACTACGTGCTTGGATCCAGGCCAAATCATGTAAATATAAAACTGGATTCATAAGTAAAGTTGTGTTAGTTCTTTCTGCTGATAATTTACATAGACTCATTTCATATGGTTTTAATGCTTTAAAAATTTTAAGCTTGTCATAAAATTAATTGTGGAAGCAATCTTTATACTCAATATTGTCTTTACAGTACAATATTATATATTGAGAATTGTACTGTATTGTGTTATTCTCATTCATTCAGGTTTTTTTTGTTAGTGTAATGCTTTTTGTGGGAATGTAATCATTCAGAAAACTTAGGGACGAAACCCACGTGACATCCCCATGGCTTCAGAGCAAACAACATCTAGAAGTTCAAGGGTCTTGGAAAGCAATTTGAAAATTAGTGGGAGCCAAATATTTAGATATAAATGATTTTTCAAGGACAAGTTAGCATAAAATCGATTTTTTAATACTCATCAAATCCATTTTTAGTAAATATTTAACAAATACTTATATTTTATTTCCCTACTCATGAATGTTTTAAAATAACAAAGGAATGGAAAATATGAAGACACCAGAAACTGAGTATCTAGGAGTTAAATCACAAATAATGTATATGACCTAAAATCTTCTTGGAGAAGTTCTAGTGGCACAGTGGTTAAGGTGCTCAGCTGTTAACTGAAAGGTCAGCAGTTTAAACCCATCAAATGCTTCACTCTGCAGGTGAAAAATGTGGTTTGCTTCCTTATAGATTAAAAGCTATTGAATCTGATTCAGTGAACCTATAGGGCAGAACAGAACTGCCCCATCGGGTCTCCAAAGCCTTAGTCTTTAGAATGCCACATCTTTCTCCTTTAGTTGGGTGCCTGGGCCCCAGGGATCCCCTTAAAGATTACAGCCTTGAAAACTTCTGTCCTATATGGTTTCTATGAATCACAATCAACTTGATAGCAACAGGTTTGGGTTAATAGTCTTCTTGTCTATAAGATTAATGGAACTCTAAAACATAAACCTATACAACAAGCACATGAAACCTTCCATCTAATTTCATGATAGGCTGAAAGCAAACAAATAAATAAAGGCATGTGTGAAGAACACATTAGAGGAAACTGCAAAGATGGAATCAGCAAAATCCAGTCTATGAGAAACTACAGATACATAAACAGCACCAAACCCAATGCCATCAAGTCAATTCCAACTCATAGTAACCTTACATAGAGTTTCCAAGACAGTTAAATCTTTATGGACGCAGACAGTCTCATCTTTCTCCTGCGGAGCACCTGGTGGGTTTGAACCATAACCCTTGTGTTTACAGCCCAATGCCTAATTCATAGCATCACAAAGGTGTCTTATGAGAAAAGAAATACATTCAGCAAATAAAGTTCAAATAAATAAGAGCTGCACAGAGGTTCTCACAGACAATGATTCTTAAGAGAAACACCTACTAATCTCAGTGAATGTTGGGATCCTAATTATAAAATAATCTGAGAAACTAAAATACTGATTTGATATTTGTGAACATTACAGAATGAGCTTTCTTTTTAGGTATGATAATGGCATTGTCTACCACTTGTCTGTCAGTTTTTCGTATTGTGGTGGCTTCCATGTTGCTGTGATTCTGGAAGCTATGCCACGGGTATTTTAAATATCAGCAAGGTCACCCAAAATGGACAGGTTTCAGATGAGCATCCAGACAAAGAAGAAGGAGTGACTGACTTCTGAATATTTAGCCACTGAAAACCTTATGAATAGCAAAGAAACATTTTCAGGTTCAGTACCAGAAGATGAGCTCTTCAGGTTGGAAGGCACTGAAAATGAGACTGGGGAAGAGCTGCCTTCTCAGAGTACAACTGATGATGATGATGATGATGATGATGATGATGATGATGATGATGATGATGATGATGATGATGATGATGATGATGATGATGATGCGAATGGAGGAAAGCCCTCGGGACCACAACTCAAAATGAAAAATGGGGGACAACTCAAAATGAAGAGAAATAGCTGTATATACCCACTAATAATCTGTGTTGGAAGAATATACAGCCAGAATGTTCCCTGGAAGCCAGATGCCCAGACTTTGTCTCTCATACTTTGGGCATACTGTCAAGAGGGACCAGTCCCTGGAGAAGGGTATCATGTTTGAAAAAGTGGAGCGTTGGAGAAAAAGAGGAAGACCCCTTTTGGATGGACCCACGAGATGGACTGGCACAGTGGTAGTAGCAATGGGCAACAATTGTGAGGTTGGGCGCAGGATTGGCCAGTGTTTCGTTGTGTTTTGTTTAGGGTCCCTATGAGTCTGTATCAACTGGATGGCACCTAACAACAATGGCATTGTGAATAAATTTTCTCTTAGTTTGTTTTGAACTTTTTAGAAATACATCCTAAAATTTAAGGATGAAATGGTATCTCTAGGATTTGCTTTTTTAGTAATCCAAAAGGGACCACAACTGACCTATGCTGAAGCTGGATGGTAGACATGGGTAGGAGACAGGTCATCATACTATTATCAGTGTAATTATGTATATTGTTGTTGTTGAGTGCTGTCGAGTAGATGCCTACTTATAGTGATCCTGTATAGGGTTTCAGAGGATCAGCTGGTGGGTTTGAACTGCTGACCTTATGGTTCATGGTCCAGTGCTGATCCTACAGTGCCACACGAGTCCAATTAAGTACATACAAGGTTAAAATAAAAATTAAATGTACACTAATATGGTTCACTGATAGAATCCTCGCCTTCCACGATGGTGACCAGGGTACAATATTTGGCAAATACACCTCATACACTGTCACTACCCATCTGTCAGTGGACACTTGCAACTTGCTCTAATGCTGAGCAGTTTTTAATGAAGCTTTCATATAATGATGCACCAGGAAGAAAGTCTGAACACAATGGCAGCTGACAACAATAAAAAGAAAAGTGCTCTTAACCTGTTTTGTGCATTATGTATGGGTGGTGTTTTTGAAGTTGGTAAAGCCCAAGGAACTTACCAGATAAAAATGTTTTTTAAATGGTCAATTTAAAATACAAAGTAGACAGCTTCATCAACTGTACTCATGCTTATGGATGAGGCTGTCCAAAATTCCAAATGAATAGGGAAGGATTCTTCATATGTAAAATCAAGCATGTCCCCTCAGTACAACAGGTTGACAGAGGCAAGCAACTTAGACTTTGGCTACCAAAACTCAGGGCTACAAAGGCACAAGGTGGCTGGCTTACAAGCTTTTATGAGGGTGCTTAGTGTCAGAACGAGGGGAGTTAAGACAGAACCCCTACTGAATAGTTTTCCTCTTGTCCAAATGGGTCTGGTGATGAAAGGGGGATAGGATTTTATGATTCAATTGTGAGTAATTGTTTTCAGGTCTAATGGTGATTACCACAATTTTAAATGTAAAAGAGCTGCAACTAAAAGGGTGGGTGGCTGATTTGTCATTTCAGGAACAGAGGACCCTAGGAAGAATATGAGAGGAGCAAGGAATCCTAACCAGAAAAGCAAGAAACTGCAGAAATGGTGGCAGAGGTGATGGCATAGAGAGACAGAACAGCAGTGGACTATAGGCCCATCCACTGAGAAAAGTAGTGTGCCTGTGGGCATTAAGCTGGCATGCAAAATGTGCCCTTCAGACATTTAAACAGATATGTATTTGGTATGTATACATCAAAAAAAAAAAAAAAAGTAACTACTGTTGGGTAAGCATGCATGGAGGGGCTTGTAAACATTACAATGATTTGCCTTGAATGTAAAACTGGAGATCTGCCCTGTATACCTTCCTTCACGCAATACACAATAAAAGCTTTTAAAAAGAAAAGGAAAAAAACAGAAAATCACACCAGAATACATAGTGTGAACTGAAACAATTGTACTAAATTTGTTACCATGAAATTAATAATAATAAAGAATTTGTGATGTGACAATGTATTATGTGCTTCTTTATTTTGTCAGTAAATAGCAAATGGGTCTTACCTACTAACAATTTTGAAGGAATTAATGTTGAACACAAACAATATTCTTCAATGTCTATGACAATGCAAGGTGATATGAAAATATTTGATACTTATTAATAATAAATTCAAAGGGACTGCTGATATTCCTGTGATTTGTTTCATACATTCATAATCTAAGAAAAAGCTACTGTCACTTGAGTATTATTGAAAATAAAGACCTAAACTCTTCCCCGTCCCATCTGCCTCCTTGGATCCCAGATGAAAACACCTCATTTTTAACTAGTGAGTTCTTAACAATACTCACATAAGGCGGCATCATTGCTCTATACTGGGAAGCAAGGACAGGCTGTTGTCCATTCAGTTTGGTCTGTGGAGGACCACAAGCTATTCTCTTTTCCACCACCTTGAGGATATCATTTTGTTCTGATGTTCCAGCTGTGCTGTCATCTTGGCCAGGAAGTTTTTCATCTTGATCAGATGGAGAAGCTGAGCCAGCAGACTTGCCACCATCTCTCCAACAAGCAACGTCTGATATAAAGGCAAAGAGAAAATATATGAATTTGGATGAGAAAGAAACCAAACCAGGCATATTTCAAGAAAACTTAAGCAAGCAAACATGTTAAAGGAATGGTGAAAGTTTAATCTGGGCCCTGTTATTATCTAATGCTTTTCAAGGTGTTAAGTAGGTAAACACAGTGACCTCCATCCAATAGGTGAGCATAGTGCCTCCAAAGCACAAAGCCTACACCTCAGAGTGGGCCAACACAAGCGAATACTGGGGGTAGGAGACATTCACTTGGTACATATATTAGATAGACATGTTTCAGATAAAATAGGAGGTTACCTAAGCAAGTTAGAAGGAGTTCTATAACCTGAAAAGGTTGACTGTGATAGTCTTTGTTTGCTTCAGGGCTTTGAACTAGTATGAACCTGTATGATCATGGCCAATGCAACAGACACAAATTTGTACTGGGTATACTGGAATGATAACCAGAATGAGCAAATTTAGGATAGAAGTCAGCAAGAGACCTTTGAAGATTCTGATAAAGAAGACTGGATACTCCAGGACTGTAAAGCAACAACATTTGAAGTGGTATAGCTAGCTGGCTGTCATCTTTGAGTTGGACACCGTTGTTTGACTCAGTTGGTCAAGAGATTTTGTTTTTCTGCAATACACCTGCTGCCCTTGTTTTCAATGAGGGAGATTAATTTTCTAGCAAGGCATTGTCCCATAATTTTTCCTGTTCTGTTATATCTACATCATAAATTGTAGATCCATTCTGGTCTTGCTTCATCAGTCATGAGTGAACTGGAAAGAACTCTCATTTGTATACAGCCTACTATTGCTAATTAAAAGTAAACAGATTTAGTGATTATATTACCTGGCTTAACTACATTTAGCTCTGTAGGATAAGCACTAGAGTGCAAACCACAAGGTCAGCACTCTGAGCTACTCCAGGGGAGAAAGATGAGGCTTTCTGCTTCCATAAAGATATACAGCCTTAGAAACCCTACACCGGGTTGGCCATGTTTTCGAACCAACTTGACAGTAATTAACAACTATCACCAAATAAAAGTGGTTTTTCAAGGAAGTTCCATGTGGTAGTCAGCCTCCAAGATGGCCTCTGAGAATCTCTACATCCTGATATTCATATTTTGTGAAGTTTCTACCAACAGAGTACTTGGGTTGGTCTGTGACTTATAAAATAGAAGAAATAATGGCAAGTAAAATACTTCCATTTTGGATAGCAGGGATATCTGTCTCTCTCATTGGTCAGTCTGAGGAATCCATATTGTGAGCAGGCAGCTCTATTGAGGTCCACATGCTGAGGAGTTGATGGCTTCTGTCAACAATCATGTTTAAGTCTTTGTGTCTAGGTCAAGTCAGTCTCAGACAGCAATTTGGTTGCAACCTTGTGAGAAAAACCCCTGAACTAGGACGCCCCTCCCCCCACACCTAATTCATTCTCAGATCTCTAACCATCAAGATACTGGATAAGATCACAGGTTCCCTGAGGTTTGTTGCTTTAAATATGTCATGCAGCAATACATAATACATTTGGTGAAAATGCAATTAAACAACAAAATACTAGAGTTGACATCTATATCCTTATCTGATCTAAGGAGTCTTGGTGTGGAACTGTGGGCTAATGCGCTGGACTGCAAAGTCAGTTTGAAACCAGGGTTGCTGGTTCAAGCTCACCAGTCACTCCTTGGAAACCCTATAGAGGGTCGCTATGGGTCGAAATCGACTCTACAGCACTTAACAATAATCTGATCTAATCAAACACATCATTGCTGTTGGTAAGTATATTGGAGTTGGCAACCTCATACAGGATTTCCAAGCAGTGGTTGGTGGGTTTGACCCACCAATCCTGTGGTTAGCAGTCCAGTGTTTATCCTACAGAAGCACACCAGGACCCTATCAACCACATTATGACCATTCAAAAAAAGTGTACTCTCATCTCATAACAAATCAATTTAAAAACATATATGAACTAAAATCAGGTTATGAGACTACCACTAGTCTGCCTTTCAAACTAGTCATTATACATACAAAAAAAACAATAAGAAGTTATTGTAAGATAAAATGCAAATACAATCCCATTCTATATTTGTATTAGACAGGAAGTACTCTTACTTGGTGGCCGTAAACTTGGACCAGGTCCATAATTGTCATCATTTGCTTCTTTTTCTTTTTTTTCCTGATCTCCAGCTGCCTGCAGACTGGGAAATTCTTGCTGAAAATGACTATTCACTTGGATTCCTAGGTATTTTTAAAAATTATTAAATGTAATACTGAAGCTAATTCAAATAACCCTCCCAGGATAGAACTAGTCTGCCTTTTTCTAATATTCTACTTTCCAAAAAAGCCTGTTCATATCCATAAAATTTTTTAATGTTTAGCAAACCCCTTGAAAAGTTAATGAACAGCCATGAGGAAATAAAAATCTAAGAAAGGAATCAGCTAGATACTGTTCCAGAGAACTCATTTAAGATAATAAGGAAACTGCAGTCTCAACTTCTTTTATTATGACTTTCACAATTTTCTCTATGCCAAATTTTTATTACTAACTATAAGAATCAGGTTAAATCATTTTGCTGAAATACAATTTGTGAGTAAACACTGTATGTATCAAGTTGAGGCTAAAACATATGTATGGATCCTTCATTTAATTCGCCTATCTATATACCTATAGTTCTAACCATAAATCCAAAGAGCTAGATTATGGATCTAGAATGATTACTCCACAGAATATTTTAGAATGGTTCCAGTTTTGCAAGTAAGAAAATTAAATTCTCCTGAGGATGCATCAATACTTGTGAGAAGGGGAGTATTATAGCTATTCTGCTTTTTTAGGGTTACTTTCTAGCTTTTCTCTATTCAGGAAACCACAGGCAACATGTTTGAAACAGGAGGGGTTGGGATACAGAGGAGGATGAATATAGTTTCTAACAGTATACGAAATGTCTAGGCACTTTTATGTCTCGAAGAACTGAAGGCATAAGGCTGGCCTGGATATAAGTAAAGATATCAGGTAAAGATAAAACAATGTGGGGTGATGGTTATCAAGATAAAAACTTCAAACTAAACACTTTTTAACTAGTATCACTGCCTCCATACATGGGCCATGACATGGAAACATAATTAGCAAGAGATTACAAAGATACCTCTTTAGGGCCCACCCTTTATATCCCACATGGCTGTTCAGTAACTATTGAGCCTAACCAGTTTTCCCAGCTAATGTCCACTTACCATCTCCTTGCCCACCTTGCTTGTTACTGGCCCATGATTTTGGAGCAGGTGCTACTTCTGGGGGTGCTGTAACCCCAGGTTTTGGCTGTGCTGGTGGTACTTCTGGTGTTCTTTAAAAAAAAATGTGAGTCCATTATTTCAGATATTACATGTTAAAAATATAAACATTGTAATTAAATTTGTATACAAATTATTTTTACTATATATTTACTCATAAATATACCCCCGTTACACTTTTTTTTAGATGAATTGTGGCTATTTTAATTTCCTTTCATATCTATTTTTGAATTATAACCACCAAAAAGAAGACAGCTTCACTTTAAAAATGTATTTTGGTGAACAAAAAAATACACAGAAAATAGCTACCAGGAAACCGTTCTGAACAAGTGAACATTTATAATTAAAATAACAGTATATGCATACATACAGTCTGGACTGGTGGAGTTAGCCAGGGGCTAAGAAGGCTAAGTAAGTGCTCCATTTTTCAGCCAACACCTTCACAATGTACTTAATAATACTGTTATTATAAGAGGTAACAGCAACCTGCCTGATCCATTCCATGATAAAAGGTGTTTTTTTTTAAAAAAAGGCCTACAGTTTTATTCAATCCTTGCAAAGACATAATGCTTAAAAATGAAAAGGAATGAAGAGACTTAAGAAATGTAATACATTTCTAGCACATTCAAATTAACTTGCTATTATAAAATAATTCTAAAACAATCCAAGAACAGAAAGTTCTTAAAAAGAAGTTTTTACACAAGTTTATTATACAGGAGGGTAGAAATTTGATAACAAATACAGGCAAAAAACTAACTTATATATATTTTTTAAATTATCACTAATTAGCTTGTTTATTCAATTAATTAAGAGCTCAGCTCAATACTTGGCACATGGAAAGCATTAAATTAATTATCTGCTGAATGAATGATGATTAGGAAGGATCCTATCAATTTTATCCCAGTTTTTTTTTTTTTTTTTTTAACTAACTCTTTAGTCACCCAATAGATATTCTTTGAATAACTACCATGCATGTATCTCATATAGTTTCAAAACTGGAGATAGAATAGTGAACAAATCATTGTTGTTTTAAGTGTAGTCGAATCAGTTCTGACTCATAGCAACCCTGGATAGGGTTTCTGAGGCTTGTAAATCTTTGTGCGAACAGAAAGTCTCATCTTTCTCCCACGAACAGCTGGGGATCGAAACACTAACTTTGTGGCTCGTAGGCTAATGCCTAGATCTTTAAAAATCATTGGCAACATGGAGCTTTCTAAAAGACTCCATTCTGAATCATGCAAAACAGGGAATGACTGATTTTGAAGGGTGGGAGAGAACGGCACAGACTATGACTTAAGAAAAATAGTGAATGAGCAACGGACTAAACCATTCAGGTAAAATTAATCAAAAGTTGGGTATATAATACAAGACTTTTAGGACATGGGGTACCTAATGTACAACACATAGCATATACTAGGTACTCAATTCATAATTTCCTATGAAGAAAGGAAATGATTTTATTAATGTACTTCAACTCACTTTTCTTCTTCATGCTGTTCCTGTTTTGATGCCCATCCTGTGCCATCTTTAGGTACAATGTTCACATTAGGATCATTGCCTTTGTTTTCTGCTTTGAGACTTGGGAGGTTAGCAGGTGGGGGCATACGCCGTGAAATACCAACTTTTCCAAGACTCTGTAATCCATGTCGAGCTGCAACTAAGGATCAATAACATCAACTTTCTAAGAACATCTACTATATTACCAACCTTATTGTTCAGAAAACAGGAATTTTAACAATACTAATAACCTTGAACTGTTATTTCCTACTATTTTAAGATAAAAAGTTTAAACTGACCCATACATACAAAACTTATCCAATTTATAAACACTAAAACAATCAAATACTGAACAATCAAGTATTAAAAATTAACAATGTAACCCAATACACTATAAAACTAAAACAGATCATCATGTTGGTTTTGGAAAGTTTCCAGGCAATCTATCTCAAAATCAAACTTAGAATGTTAAAGAATAAATACATAACAAATACTACTAATGTATCAGACATGATCTAGCACACAGCAGATTCAAGGCAACTAAATAAAAAACATGACACTTTCTGTATTTCGTAACTAAAAGTGGCAGCAAATACCAACAAATATATAGCGCTATGCCTATCACAACCTCATTTACTGCATTTCCCCATCAAATAATACAAATTTACTGATTTTCTATAATCTGACAAAAGCAGAGAAAAATAAATCCTGTTTTAGCAGTTCTGATGCCATTTACAGTAATAACACAAAAGAATAAAAAAACATTAAAAACAATTGCTACTTGACTTTACTCACCTGTGGTTTTCTGAGTTTCTAATGATTTACCCTTGTAAGTATTAAACAAGCTGAGTGTTGCATACTTTTTCCCATCCTTTGCTTTTGTGCTCTGGCCTGACTTCTCCGACATTTCGGTGGAAACTCATGGAGTCCAAAACCTGCCACACCCCTTAAAACCAGTCTTTAAGATATACATAAGAAAGAAAAATGAGAAGGAAAATTTTAGAATTCATTAACTAAAAACGTTTTTTAGTATATTCAAATGTTCGCAGAAATTCTGAAAATAAAAACACAAAAAGAAACCTTCATTAACTCATAGTCAATGAGAATTTCATAAACTTGTTTGCTGTTAAGTGCTACTGAATTAGTTACAGCTCATAGCAACCCCATATAGGGTTCCTGAGGAGCTGCTGGTGGATTTGAACCGCTGACCTTACAGTTCAGGCCAACCTTGTAGTCCAGTACTTTGTCCTAAAGGACCACACCGGATGCCCTCAATGACTTAACAATGATAATTTCAAAAATCTGCTTGTAGTTGCAGTTAAATGCCATTGAGTCATTTCCAAGTCATACCAACTTTGTCTGGGGTTTCTGAGGAGTGGCTGGTGGGTTTAAACTGACCTTGTGGTCCAGTACATTATCTTGCAGTGCCACACCAGGACTCCAAGAACCAAAGCCTCCCTGACCAGGAATCATATCCATGCCTCATCGGTAAGAGCACTGAATCTAACCACGAGACCACCATAAACTGAAGACTGCCACATTTTCCTTCCATTCCCATAGTGTGGCTGGTTAGTTTAAACCACTGACCTTTCAGGTAACAGCTGAACACTTAATCACTGTACCACCAGGGCTTCTATTAAATTAAATAGCATTTATTTATTAAACAGTCTCCAAAGACAGACAATACTCATATTGGACTGGCTTAGATTCATTCTCTATGATAAAGTTAGATAGTTGCAAATCATAAATAACATATTTGCCAATATATGGTAGTTTATTATGATTAATCGTCGTGTACTGTTTTTTGTTTTGATAAACCTAACATTCCCAGATTTACTGAATCAAACTCTAGTGATGTGGTCCAGCAATCTGTGTTTTAGCAAGTCCTCCAAGTGATACAGAGATATACAAAAGTTTAAGAATCACTGACATAATTTAAGCAGTGCTTCTCAACCCTAGCTACACATTAAAATCGTTTAGGGATCTGAAATACTATACCAGTATGAAGTGGATCGTGTCCGGGCACCAATTCTTATTTTTAAAAAAGTTCCCCAAGTGATTCAATTTTTTTTTTTTTTTTTTAAGGTTTTTATTGTGGATTGAGTGAAAGTTTGCAGGGCAGATCATCAGTTTTACGTTTAAAAAAGTTCCCCAAGTGATTCAATTTTTTTTTTTTTTTTTTAAGGTTTTTTTTGTGGATTGAGTGAAAGTTTGCAGGGCAGATCATCAGTTTTACGTTCAACAAATCATACACCTTGTTTCTTTACAATGATTATAATCCCCTCCAGGTACCATCTGTTAACAGTATTTCTCTGTATTCACTTTAGCTTTAAAAAAAAAATCCAACAAAACAAAACACCACTCAGGTATATATAATAATTTACATCTCCAAAGGGGACATTCTGCAAGTCTGCCTCCTGGCCACTATCTCTTAGTCCTTCTGTTCCCATAAATCTAGAGTCCTCAGTCGCTCCCTCTCTCCATGACCCAATCTCTGCCTCCTTCTCTGGCGTCGCTGCTTCTCTGGATAAGGTCTGCTTCTGCTCGTCTCCCTTGATGGTCCTAGGGTCCTCTGTTTCTGGACTGTAAGATTAACCAATCCCCTGTTTTTGTTACAAAACTTCTACCTTTACAATTGTGACAGTCGCAATTTATCATGATAAAAATTATTCACTATTGAATCATAGGAATCTTATCCCCATCTCTTTTTACCAGACCCATCTAGACAAGATGAACTCTATTAAGTGGGGAAGCTTTCTTTCAACCTATACTCTTAAACTAAACTCCCTCTTGAAACCTTGTAAGCCAGCCACTTCGTGCCTTTATCGCCCCCTCACTGTAGGTAGTCAATGTCTAAGTTGCCCATCCCTATCTACCCTATGTACAGAGGGGATAGCATTGATATTTGATGTGTAGACTCCTTCACTCTCTGTTGGTAATTAGAGTTACTTCCTCTCTGAGTATAGGTCAGGTTTATCAAATTGTATCAATTTACCGTTGCTTCCTTTACCAAGAAAAATTTTGTTTTTGTAATCTTTCTCTAGTCCAAGTAATTCTAATTTGCATGCATGTCTTAACAATTGCTCCAATAAAAGGAAGCTAGCTTTCTCCATTAGGGTCCTAGTGTGGCACTGTGGGATAATGGCACAGGACAGCAAAATTGGTTTGAAACACAAGGTCGGTTGTTCAAACTCACCAGCTGCTCCTGGAAACTCTATACTGGGTTGCTATAAGTTGGAACTGACTTGAAGGCACTTAATAAGAACAATCACTTTCCACCTAAGACCAACTCTTCCTTTCCGTGCTCTCCACTCAGTCACTTTCCTCTAAACTCTTCTAAAAATCCTAAACTCTTCTAACTAGGGTATCTTCTTTACTACTATGCCTTCAACTATAAACTACAGCAAAATATTCACATCACCAGACTAGAACTCTAAGCTCCTGACACATGCATTGTATCCCATTACCAATTTACATTTATTTTTTTGTTTTGTTTTGAATATTATTTCAACTCTACACAGAACACTGCAACTATTTCATATCAAGGTTTTCACAAGGAAGTTCACCAAATTTTCTGCCCAAAGAGGCAAAAGATAGTTACAATAAAATTGAGAGGCAATGGGGAAAAGACCTCAACATATGATGAAATTTAAAAACAGTGAGTAATTGTTATCATGCAACAAATTGAAGGGTGGAAGGGTACTTCTAAGAAACCCAAAAACTAAGGCTATGAACAGATAATTCACAGTAAACAAGTGTAGCAAAATATTCTACTTCATGAGCATAAAAATAAAAATGGAACAGGTATTTTCTTGAGGGCTAAACTTGTCCATGTACCTGCTCAACAATAAATATTACATAAGTGGTTACGAATTAGTCTGTGAACCTTAAGGTCAGCAGTTCGAGACTATCAGCCGCTCCGTGGGAGAAAGACGAGGCTTTCTGCTCCCGTAAAGATTTACAGCCTCAGAAACCCTGTACAGGGTCGCTATGGGTCGGAACCGACCCAACAGCACTTAACAGCAATGCAAACCTCAGGATTATAGAATCTGATTCAATTCTAGCCAACTCAGAACATTCTAGCTTGGAAGTAAGTATACAATGAACCTTAACTTCACTACATAAAGCAAACAAAACCAACCAACCAACAACCAAATAAAAATTCCATATAAATTAGAACAAATTTCCAAACACACACACACAAAACAACAAAAACTGTCCCTGGAAGCCACAAAATAAAGGTTCTGGAGCTCTGGTGTGCAACTGTAGGATAAGCACTGGACTGCTAATCATAAATTTTACACAGTTCAAACCCACCAGCAGTTCCCCTGGAAACCCTATACAGGGTTGCTATGAGTTGGAAATGACTCAACAGCACTTCACAACAACATAATACTAAAGATGTTCTCCTTCCACTATTAATACACCACTGTCTACAGCCTTCAGGACATGCTAGTTTCTCAAAAAGGTAAACTAAGCTCATATTGTGTGCACTCCCTAAGGTAAAGAAGATAAAGAATCAATCATTCAGAACACTAAAACAGAATTGCTTTCGTAGACTCATAAATCTGTTTCGCAGCACACAGTGTGCACTGTATGATACACACGATTGCAAGGCTGGTGGTTCAAACCCACCATTCACTCTTTGGAAACCCTATACACAATTGCTATGACTAAGAACTGAATTGACGGCACTCTAATGAACAGGGAGAAACTCTGGTTTATTGTACTGACTTACAAAAGAATATGCATTTCTCTAAAGGCAGAAAATGTACAGCCATAAATAATGTGACTGGATAAATAAGAAAGTTTAACTCTACTATAACGGTTTGCCAATTATGTGTAGGCACTTTTCGTTACTTTAAAGCCAAAGTTTAATTCAGCCTACTTGCTTTTTGGTAACTTTTGAAAGGTTTGGAAGATGCCCTAAAATGCTCCATTACAACGAAACCTCATCCAATATTTACTTGAAAGAAATGTCAGCAACTTTTAATAATTTAAAATAATAACTTATAAAATAATGGCTAAGTGTTGTTGTTATTGTTAAACGCTGTCCATTCATTTCCGTCTCACAGCAATCCTGTATAAGTTTTCTGAGTGGCTGGTGAGGATGAATTGCCAAACTTGTGGTCCAGTGCATTAACCCACAGGACCACACTAGGACTCCACTGGCTACACATCATTATTTTCTCAAATGATAGGGATCAAGGATCAAGGGTTATACTTTCAACCAAGATTTTGCTCTTCCTCTGAAACACTGTAACTGGACAACAGCAAACAAAATTCAAGCATTCAGATGAGAAAGGATGAAACTTTTGCTGACAATGTTATCATATAAGTAAAAATCTGTTGGATGTAAAATATACAAAAATCGTATAGTAGCAACTAACAATCAGAAACTGAAATTTAATACCATTTACTATGTTTGATGCTGTTAAGTGCCATCCAGTCAGTTCCATATCATAACAACACAATGCGCAACAGAATGAAATACTGCTGAGTCTTGCACCATCTTTCACAGTAATTGCTATGGTTGAGCCCATAGTTGAGGGTCTTTCTCTTTATGGGGATATATCTCACAAAGGAGCTATGGTAGTATAGTGGTTATGAATCGGGCTGTGAACCGCAAGATTAGCAGTTTGAAACTACCAGCTGTTCTGTGGCAGAAAGATGAGGCTTTCTGCTCCTGTCAAGATTCACAGCCTTGGAAACCCTGTACAGGGTTGCTATGAGTTGGAACCAACTCCACAGCACATAACCACCACCACCATCTCACAAAAGATGTGCAAAAAGATTATAAAAGTTTAAAGAACGCCTAGGCAAATAGAGACATACAATGTTTCAGGGTCTAAATCTCTATATTAAAATGTCAATCTGTCCCAAATTGATTCCTAGATTCAAAAGAAT